AAAACATGAAAGGTATATCCTATTTGAAAGAAAAATGAAAAATGAAATGAAAATAACATTTGAACTCAACGCTAATATATATTGATATTGGGGTGTCTGGTGTTGGTGACACTGCGTGTTGTTGAAATCGTAGCCATTGCTGATGATGTGGGGGGGGGGTCGCAGGTGTTGGTGACAACCCACCGGCTCGTTCTTCACAGTCTATAGCCGTGAATATCTATCCAGATGACAGGAAATCAGGTTCTTTACCGCTGCAATGATGAGGGGTTACGTCCTGATTCTTCATACATGTGCACAGGCAAGTAGATAAAACATGGGACGTCTCAGGACGTTAGTCTGTCTCCTTCAATTCTACTCATTGGTTGGCAGGTGACCCATTCTGTCATTCCAAGCTGGAAAGAGAGACAGGTTACCCACTGCTTAAGAAATCACTCTCCATGATAAGTACAATACCTAAAAGACATGGTGATTATTAAGACATTTAACATAGAGCAAGACTGAAAGGACTAAGTTCATTATTGGTCAAAAGTGAACCTTTCAACCAATAAGTCCACTAGAATATGAGCAGGCATGTACTTACAGTAGTGCTGGGAGCTGTGAGTTGAGTGATTACTGTTTGGCTGGAGCCCCACACGTCACCTTTTGGGGAAAGGGGGGGAAAGAGGGAGGGGAAGGGATAGCGGGAGCTAGACTGACCCTACTTTAACAAGCAGCCGGCAATGAAACTCACTTTCGAGGAGGGGGAAAAAGTGGGGGGGGGGGGGAATAGCGGGAGCTGGACTTACCCTACCTTAACAAGTAGCCGGCAATGAAACTATTGTTACTATATACTCCCTCGCTACTCCTATCTATTGAACTTTTCCCTCACATATACCACTTTGATGTTCATCTTGTCAGACACTGCAACACATGGCATCTTGGTACAGAAAACACCTTGGACAACCTTTTCAAGTGAGAATTGTTGGATCTGAGAGGGACATGACCTCTCAGTGGCTACAATCTCACTACTACTACTACATAGCACCTCTCCTTCCGACAGTATTTAAGTCTCCGCACTGTCCCTTGATCTTCAGATAGTTCCTGACAATGGAACTGAACTTCTCCAGGCTGAGGGACTGACAACCTTAAATTCTACGACTTCAAGAGTGATGGACTGATTACATCGTCTTCACATCTCTACGTTTCCTGCCTACTTTCTGTATTCGACTGAAGAAGCCTATTGTGTAGGCGAAACGTTCAGAAATAAAGTTGCCTATGTGTCTTACCTACCAACCTGTTGGTATTGTATACCACTTTGATGTTCACAGCTCATACTACAAGTGGACAAACAGCGTATCAAAAACACCAAAGCCTTCTGTAACTTTATCAAAAAAATCAGAGGCACCACTCCCACCAACAAATTCAAATACATCACCCACAACAACACACACATCTCAGACCCGCAGGCTGCTACTTACATCTTCAAACACATCTGGGAGAGCATCTTCCACCCTCACCCACCCCACCCTAATGCTATTCAACACATTCAGAACACAGAACACTGGAACACTACACACACACACACGAAACAACACCAGACAGCCACATCCATCTGGACTCTCTTACCTCCTCCCAAGAACTTGACACTCCTTTCACCAACACAGACGTTAAAACTCTCCTTAGACACCTTCCTCCCAAGGCCCCTGGTGCCTCTGGCCTAAACCATATTATCCTGAAACACCTTCCTGACTCTATCATTACTGCCCACACAAACCTCCTCAATGCCTCCCTTACCTCTGGATACTTCCCTTCCCTCTTCAAAGCTGCTACTGCTATCCTCCTTCCTAAACCCAATAAAGACCACTCTGACCCTAGAAACTATCAGCCCTATCAGCCTCCTCGAAACTTTAGGAAAACTCTTTGAAAAACTCATCAATCATTGCCTTCGCAGATACCTGGAACACAATTCTCTACTTTCTGATGGCCAGTTTGGCTTCAGAACACACAGGATGCCATTAACATCATTCTCAACTACATACACATCAACACAAAACAAAGAAACAGGACAGCCCTGGTTGCAAAAGACGCTGAAAAAGCCTTTGACATTGTCTGGCACGAAGGGCTCAAGTACAAACTCTGCACTAACTCCAACCTGCCTCTCAATACTCGTAAACTCCTCTGCAACTTCCTAGACGGCCGTACCATTAGAATCAAATTCCAAGGCTGTTACGTTGCAACCCCTGAATGGGTTGCAATGATTAATATGTATAATAATATATATATATATATATATATATATAATATATATATATAATATATAATTATTACCTTTTCATATAATTTTATATTGCTTATATTTGCGATAATAGCTAAATTGTCAATGTATTGCTTTATATTATTATTTCCCCTCAGGGAAGGTTCCTTGATGTTGGTGAGGAGCTCTTGATTTAGGGAATTGGATCTGTGCTCCAGTTCCCCAAATTAAGCCTGAATGCCTTCCACATCCCTCCCAGGCGCTGTATAATCCTACGGGTTTAGCGCTTCCCCTTGATTATAATAATAATAATAATATATTATTATTTGACTTAGTTACGTTGTTAGTTAGGATGTAACATATTATGTGCTCAGTTCAAGTCTTGATTGTCTAACTACTGTAATTATTGCTCTTTGCTCGTTTCCCTGCCGGCTTCTGTTGCTGGGCAGTACTGTCCACGGAGCTATCACGTGATCGAGGGGGGGGGGGTGTCCTCACTTCGCCTAAAGTATTCAGTCTGGTCTAGACTCAGTGGTTGGATGTATTCTATACAAGTGCCTAAATCTCCCTTATTGGCTCTTGTTGGAAAATCGTCTCTTTGTCTCATTATTCTTGTTAGTTCTGGAGACTCTGTTCACAGAACATTGTATAGACTAGTGATCTTCGACGTTGTACTGAGGTTGTGTGTCGCTTAGACACTTTGAGTAACTCAGGTCCTGAGCTGTAGCTTCTGACCTAATTTGTACTGGTATCTGTGCATTGTCACAGTCGGGTATTTTCTTATGCTGAACTTGGATTCAGTAGTATGGGAGTTTTGTGACTTGTGGAAGATCTGTTGATGGTCCCTACTTAGTGTCGTTATATTATCTCCTTGTTCCTGATTCTGTGTCACAGTCGCTTGTTATATTGCTATTGGGCTTAGCATTCTTTTTATTGTTCAAGCAGACTGTTCTGATTGCCAGTTGGTCAAGAAGTTAGTTTATTTGTGGACTTTGTCAGTCACTTGTTTAAGTCGGCATGCAATAGCTAGTAAGGCCCTTGCGGGCCTCTACAAGCTGAAACATGCCTTTCAACGCACCAAACTACACCTCTACAAATCCCTAATACGTCCTCTGATAACTTACTCTCCTCTAGCCCTCTCTCTTGCAGCAAAAACAAACTTACTTAAACTGCAGCGTGTCCAGAACAAGGCGCTGCGCTGGGTGCTTGATGTCAGATGGGAGGACTTCGCCACAAGCGAGTCTCTCCATGCCCAATTAGACATCCCTGCACTGAATCTGTACTGGAAGACGCTCAGTGACAGATAGACAAACTTGAGACACAACATGATTACTGGGCCTCTCTCCTTGACGAAGACATTCGCAGACCCACAAACCAACACAACCTTTTCTACTCCTTGCATGATCCTGCTCCTAACTCTATTTACAAATAACCTTGAATTCGCTGACAGGTACCTTCTATGACAGGTACCATTCTCTGACCCACATTCGCTTTAGCTTTTGGGTTAAGATATGGCCCAGTTCTACACTCCTCTCTAGCGCTAAACGCTTCAACAACCTCTACTAGTGAGAATGGCTGGATTTGAGAGGGACCTGACCTCTCAATGTCTACATTCTTACCTCTACTAGTGACCTACGTCTCACCTCCTGGCGCTATATAAGGCTCCATCCTATCACTTCAACTCCATATTGTTCCGGACTATGAAACAATGCTCTTCTCCAGACTGAGGGACTGACCACCTCAAAACTTCAAGGGTGATGGAGATTACATCGTTTTCAAGTCTCTTCTGCTTCTATCAACTTTTCTGTACTCGACTGAAGAAGCCTACTGTGTAGGCGAAACGTTTCGAAATAAAGATACCTAACTGTTGAACATTAAAATGGTATAAAATACCGACATATCCACAACTCTGTTAGAAAACCAGTACTTACCTATGTCCTTTCTAAATCTAAATTTATCCAACTTAAATCCATTATTTCTGGTTCTTCTGCAGTGTTCCTCCATTCTTATGTTCTTAAGTACTGGTTTTCTAACAGAGTTGTGGATGACGATTGAGACACTTATGCAACATATGGGAATCTTTATAAACGTTTCGCCACACAGTGGCTTCATCAGTCCAATACAAAGTAGAAAGGCATAAGGAGAGGAGGAGTTTGAGGTAATCAGTCCCTCAGCCTGAAGTCGATGTGTTCAGTCCATCAATCTTGTAGAATGTACAGCATAGGGCCGTAGACGTGGCTTATATACTGTAGTGAGGTGAGGCGAAGCAGGAGAAGGTGGGGTCATAGTGGTATCATCCACTAGTCGAAGTAGTTCTTCGTTCAAAGGTTGGACAAGTGTTGAAGAATTCTTTGTAACAAGATCCCATGATGCTGCAGTGTCTGACAGTTGTGATGAATGGTTTGAAAAACCGACAAGTTGACGATTGAGACACTTATGCAGCATACGGGAATCTTATTATAAAGATTCCCATATGTTGCATAAGTGTCTCAATCGTCAACTTGTCGGTTTTTTCAAACCATTCATCACAGAGTTGTGGATGCTTGGAACAAACTTCCCAGTAGGGTGATAGAGGCTAGGACCTTGGGTAGCTTAAGAAGATATTGGACAGATATATGAGTGGGAGGGGCTGGGTTTGATTGGTGTCATTGGGTACAGGAGTTAATTCTTGGGTAGCTTTTGGTAGAGGTCGTTTTGATGAGGACTTGCCTTGTATGGGCCAGTAGGCCTTCCGCAGTGTTCCTCCATTCTTATGTTCTCGGGCTCCCAGGGAGCAGGATTCAATAAAACGTAAGCTTTGGTGGCCCTTGACAACCCCAACAACAACAAGGTCCCGTCCTGTAATTTTGACGCCATTAACATGCCTGTTGGAGCCAGTGGATTATTGAGCTCTAAGCCGTAAGTATACCAATGTTGGCGAGTGTGTGATTGGTATATTTAGTAGATATACGTGTAGGTATTATCTGGAGACAGCTAAAACTAAATTTGGCAAAACTACGTCGTTCCTACACTAAGATACCTTGGTGGTGTTCTGCCACTCAGCATTATTAATGGTATACAATACAGACAAGTTAATGAATTAAGACACATGTGCAACTCTTAGATACGAAAGTGTTGCACACGTATCTTACTCACCAAACTGTTAGTACTGTGTACCAAAAATGTGAAAATTAATTTAATTTCAATCGAGGCCATAAAATTTATTTATCTCCTTTCTCCAGCTTAATAAATTTAATATTCTTTAGGTTTATTCATGATTTGATTCATGTAGTTATAGGCCAAGTAATAATTTGGCGACCCAGTCTAAAATTTTAAAATTGTATAGAAGAAGGTTTTTGATATCTGGCCTCATACAATGGGAAGAGGCCCATCTGTTGCCACAAATAACTTTTTCCTTATATTGCTGTTAGGTAAGACACATATTGCTATTGGGAGATTTGGGAGAAACGCTTCAGAGGATGGTAGAGAAGTTTGGAAGAGTCTGCAAATTAAGAACTGTGAAAGAGAATGCACACAAAAGCAGAATAGGGGTACATACCTTCGTTTTTTTTTTTTTCAGCAAGCCATCAGCAGAAAGTGTACGCTGCCAGAAGTGCCTGGAGTTTGGTCACTGGACATACGAGTGCAAGGGTAAGAGGAAATATGTTCATCGAGAGACTCGCACATCCATGCTCAACAAGAGAGTTAAGCAGGAGAAGCAGGAACAGCAGATTGATAACTTGTAATTACTGTATTTTTTTCCATTCTCGTATGTGACTGACCTTGAACTCTTACTTAATGTAGAGATCAAATATTAATACAGTAGGCCCTTCACTTATGATGTTATGCATTTCTGAAACTTTTTTGTAATTTGAGTATTCAGAACTCTGGACCTATTTTTCCAACACTCATGTTATAATCAGAGATAAGTTTCCAAATCATAATATGGCATATATACTTTCATTTATTTATCCAGCTAAGATTATTTACCCACTGTTTTAGATGCAATACTATTTGTTTTCAATTGCAAATACTATAGTGTACCATAGTATCAATGTTTAATTAATATGTACATATTAATTAAACACAATAGAGTTAAAATACAGTATGCCATGCAGTATTTACATTAAATATTGATATTGTCTTGCTAACTGGAAATGATGTTTCCAGGAGAGTACGTTGTCCCACTATTTGGAAGGATGATTCTGTTTTTGTAATTAATTAATTTGTTCCAATGCTGATGATGGTGGTGGCCCGGTGGCCTGGTGGCTAAAGCTTCCGCTTCACACACGGAGGGCCCGGGTTCGATTCCCGGCAGGTGGAAACATTTCGACACGTTTCCTTACACCTGTTGTCCTGTTCACCTAGCAGCAAATAGGTACCTGGGTGTCAGTCGACTGGTGTGGGTCGCATCCTGGGGGACAAGATTAAGGACCCCAATGGAAATAAGTTAGACAGTCCTCGATGACACACTGACTTTCTTGGGTTATCCTGGGTGGCTAACCCTCCGGGGTTAAAAATCCGAACGAAATCTTATCTTATCTTATCTTATGATTACAAGTTGGGTTATCATAAGTCAAGGACCTCCAGCAATAAAAAAGAAAAAGAAAATTATGGTATAAAGTATAGTATACTGTACAGTACATTATACAGTACAGTACCATATGTAACAATATTTCTCAGTTACCTTATATTATACTGTACAGGGTATAGGTTATCAAATATACTATAGTTACAAATATATAACAATTACAAATATAGATAGTAAAAGTTATATTGGAGATGAAACTATGTAGTTAAAGTTTAGATTTGTTCCAGACCATTATCAAGTTATGAGTGACTTGATAATGATCTAGGATAAAGTGAAATCATATGCTGTCACTGGCAACTGCATTTGGGGGCACTGGCAACTGCAGTGGAGCGAGCTGTTAGGACTTTAAACTAGGAATAGTTAGTGGTATGGGTTTTGGCAGGAAAACAGTGAAGTCCCCGTGTAGTAATATTATGAGTTCTAAGGGAACTAGTAATAAGCAAAACGAGGTAGATATTGAAAAGCCAGTGACACTAGGTGATAAGGACAGTAATAGGTTTAGTAGAAAAACAGAAATGAGCAGGAGGGGTAAAGAGAAAGGAGAGTCTTTCAATGTTTATTATGCTAATAGCCGTAGTGCTAGGAATAAGGTGGACGAGTTGAGATTAGTAGCTAGTGCAGGTAACATTGATGTATTTGCCTTAACTGAGACGTGGTTTAATTCAAAAAGTCAGGACATGCCTGCGGAATGTCACATTCAGGGTTTTAAACTGTTCCAAGTAGATAGAAGTATCGGGAAGGGGGGTGGGGTGGCATTGTATGTCCGAGATCGCTTGAACTGTTGCATAAAAACGGGTATTAAGTCTGAAGTAACACATACAGAGTCTGTTTGGATAGAATTTTCAGAGGGGCATGAAAAATTGATTTTAGGTGTGATATACCGTCCCCCAAACTTAGATAGGGACCAAGGGAGACTACTATGGGAGGAAATTGTTAAGGCCACAAGGCACGATAATGTAGTAATTCTAGGAGACTTTAACTTTAATCATATTGATTGGAATTTCTTGACTGGGAATTTAGAATCATACGATTTCTTAGAAGTAGTTCAGGATTGTTTTTTGAAGCAGTTTGTGACAGAACCTACAAAAGGAAATAACCTGCTTGACTTAGTTCTGGCAAACAATGAATCCCTTGTTAATAATTTAGAAATTTCAGAGGAACTGGGTACTAGTGACCACAAATCAATTACATTTAGCATTGAATGGAAGTATGATAGTAGAGATAACTCAGTAACAGTCCCAGATTTTCGCTTAGCAGATTACGATGGGCTTAGAGAACACTTATCATCTGTTGACTGGGGTAACGAAGAGAGCTATCAATATGACAGTTTTCTGAACACTATACATGCTGCTCAAAGAATGTTTATCCCATATAAAGAAATTAGATCAAATAGAAATAACCCAAAATGGATGAATAATAGGCTGAAATATCTACTAGGGCATAAGAAAGGAATTTATAGGCGTATCAAAAGAGGTGAGGGTCATCTTATGATTCAGTATATTGACATTAAGAGGGACGTTAAAAAGGGGATAAGAAAAGCTAAAAGGGACTATGAAATTAAAGTTGCTAAAGATTCGAAAACTAACCCAAAAAGTTTTTTCCTTTCCAGGTCTATAGAACAAAAGTTAGAGATAAGATAGGTCCCCTTAAAAATAACTATGGGCATCTTACTGACAAGGAGAATGAAATGTGCTCGATTTTAAATAATTATTTTCTCTCGGTTTTTACACAGGAAGACACTAACAATATCCCAGTAATTAATTTTTATAGTGGGCCTGAAGAAGATAAATTATGTAACATCACAGTCACTAGTGAAATGGTTATGAAACAAATAGACCGACTGAAGCAAAATAAGTCGCTGGGTCCTGATGAGCTTTTTTCAAGGTTCTTAAGGAATGCAAAATGGAACTCTGTGAACCATTAACTAATATTTTTAATTTATCTCTTCAAACAGGTGTAGTGTCTGATATGTGGAAGATGGCTAATGTAATTCCTATTTTTAAAGCAGGGGACAAGTCGTTACCGTCAAATTACCGCCCAATAAGCCTGACCTCAATTGTAGGCAAATTACTAGAGTCAATTATAGCTGAGATTATAAGAAGCCATCTCAATAAGCATAGCTTGATTAATGATACTCAGCATGGATTCACGAGAGGCCGCTCTTGTCTAACTAATTTATTAACTTTCTTCAGTAAAGCTTTTGAGGCTGTTGATCACGATAAAGAATTTGATATTATTTACTTAGATTTTAGTAAGGCTTTTGATAGAGTTCCGCACCAAAGACTGTTAAAGAAAGTGGCAGCTCATGGCATTGAGGGAAACGTGCTCTCGTGGATCGAGTCATGGCTCACAGACAGGAAGCAGAGAGTGTCCATAAATGGGGTTAAATCCGAGTGGGGATCTGTAACAAGTGGCGTACCACAGGGATCAGTCTTAGGCCCATTGTTGTTTATAATATATATCAATGACCTTGATGAGGGTATTACTAGTAATATGAACAAATTCGCCGATGACACAAAAATAGGTAGGATAATTGACTCAAATGTAGATGTTAGGGAACTTCAGGAGGATTTAGATAAACTCTATTCTTGGTCAGAAAAGTGGCAGATGCAGTTCAGTGTAGATAAATGCAAGGTTCTGAAGGTCGGGAGTGTCCATATCCCTAGCACTTATAAGTTAAATAATGTAGAACTTAGCCATACAGATTGCGAAAAGGACTTGGGGGTTATGGTGAGCAGCGACCTTAAACCAAGACAGCAATGCCTAAGCGTATGTAATAAGGCAAATAGATTATTGGGATTTATATCAAGAAGTGTAAGCAACAGAAGTCCAGAGGTTATACTGCAGCTTTATACATCATTAGTAAGGCCTCACCTAGATTATGCAGCTCAGTTCTGGTCTCCATATTACAGAATGGATATACTGTAAATTCGTTAGAAAACATTCAGCGTAGAATGACTAAATTAATACATAGCATTAGAAATCTTCCCTATGAAGAAAGATTGAAGACTCTTAAATTACATTCACTTGTAAATGAATGAGGTGTATAAGTGGAAGATGGGTATTAATAAAGGGGATATTAATAAGGTCTTGAGGATGTCTCTCCAAGAGAGAACCCACAGTAATGGATTTAAATTAGACAAGTTTAGATTTAGAAAGGACATAGGAAAGTATTGGTTTGGAAATAGGGTAGCTGATGAGTGGAACAGTCTGCCTAGTTGGGTTGAACATCAAAATGGTATACAATACCAACAGGTTGTTAGGCAAGACACACATGCAACTGTTAGACAACTTTATTCCGAAACGTTTCGCCTACACAGTAGGCTTCTTCAGTTGAATACAGAAAGTAGGCAGGAACAGTAGAGATGTGAAGACGATGTAATCAGTCCATCACCCTTGAAGTCGTAGAATTTGAGGTTGTCAGTCCCTCAGCCTGGAGAAGTTCAGTTCCATAGTCAGGAACTGGGTTATTGAGGCTAGGACTTTGGGTAGTTTCAAATTTAGGTTGGATAAATATATGAGTGAGAGGGGTTGGATTTGATTGGGACTTGCAAGTGAGTGGATAGAGTTATCAGAGATTATTTCTTGGGTAGCATTGAAAATTGGGTTGGGCAAATGTTTTGTTAGTGGGATGGATTGTAAAGGACCTGCCTAGTATGGGCCAACAGGCCTGCTGCAGTGATCCTCCTTTCTTATGTTACCTTCTGAGTATTAATTTCCCCTCTGTGGAACCTCCTGGCATTTTCTTGTCAGGCACTTCATCATCTTGTTCGTCACTTTTCCTTCCAGTACCTTTACCATTGTACTGCATTCAGAAATTCTTATATCCTTGCTTAAGTCTCCTCTTCTGAAATCTGGTTTCTTCCTTCCCTACCTGTTAAGTTTCTCTGCAGGCTTGTTCCATAAGTTGTATCACCTACGGAATATAATAATACTGTACCAACTCACTGAAAAGCTCAATCATGTGTAGTGTTCACTAGTATACAGTTTCTTAAACATTAACAGATGTGGAGTTTTGACATAACTTAAAATTCCTGTTTGGTACTTATTAGCACAGCGGTACCTTTTATAAAATCTTGAGTTATTATATATTAGTATATACAGTTATTTGATGTTCTGGTTTGCAATTATTTAATTTCCTACCAAAATATAGGAATAATTATTAGAAATACATATGTAAAATGAAAATGCTTTAATTAATTGGAAAGTGCAGCAGTGTGTTTTAAATTTAAATCCATATACAGTGGAACTCTGGTTTTCATACTGCCCTCATATCATGCAATTCAGATTTAGGGCACTTTTTTGGGCGAAATTTTGGTCCTAATTTTGTACCTCCAACCAGAAATCGTGTGTATGAGACTCGTCCACCCGCCTGGGATGCCTGTCACTGGCTGAATGAGCATTCATCTGAAACATTTCACAATTTTTGTGCTTGTTTATTGATTGTGACTGCAAAATAAGCCACCATGAGCCCAAAGAAAGTTCCTAGTGTCAGTGCCAGCCCTATGGTAAAGAATTCGAGAAAGAGATTGTAGAATTCAAGAAAGAGATTGTGGAAAAAATATGAAAGTGGCGTACTTTTAGCCAACAAGAGTCTTCAATAAAGGTATGTTATGTTCATTTATCATTTATCATTATTTTCTGTATGTAAAACTATAGTTATTCTTTAAAAAATGTATTTTTTGTTAATATTTTGGGGTGTCTGGAATGGACTAATTGTATTTACATTATTTCCTATGGGAAATATTAATTCGGTTTTCGTATGTTTCGGATTTAGACCGATCTTCTGGAACAGATTAAGTATGAAAACCAGAGTTCCACTGTATTAAAAAGCAGGTAAAAAGTTTTTAACTTGTACATTTATTTACCATACTGTTTATAAATTATAATACTTTTAGTAATATTTACTATACATTTTTGGTATAGTGTCATTGAAATATTTGGTTATGTATTAAAAACAATTTAATATTAAATATAAAATTAAAACATTTTTTGGTAAAAACTGATTAAGTTGATGTAAATCATAAAACTCTTGACTATGTGCTCTTATCTTTCAGAAAAAAGATGGCATCAAATAAAGAAAGATCACAGAGACGAGACAAAAATCATAAATCCAGTGATTCTGATTCTTCCTCCTCATCCTCATCATCTTCCTCATCATCATCATCATCGTCATCGTCATCGTCATCTTCAGATTCAGACAGTTCAGATACTGACTCGACAGACTCGTCATCTAGTTCTTCAGTGTCATCATCCTCAGATTCATCAAAGTCCTCTGGTTCAGAGACTCAGAAGAAAAAGAAAAGAAAGAGAAACAGTGCCAAGTAATGAGAATTATATTATTTAGGATTTCATTTATTTTTGATATTGTAAATTTTCATATTACATGTCACATTTAAAATACTCTTTGTTCTTATTTGACAATATGAGAGAATGCAGTAAACCCTCTATTTAAAGGACTAATTGGGGAACAAATGGGTGGCTAATAATGGCAGTTGTGATGGGTAGAGAATAGATTGTTTTGCCGTGATTATAACAATAATAAACAATCATGCAACCAAAGGACTCTGTCCATTGTTTACAAATCTATTGACTAATAGGTTTTGTTCTGTATTTCTGTATTTCTGAAGTCTGTTAAATGGAGGGTTTACTGTGGATGTTGCATCCATCTTTTTTCTCATAACATTTAATGTACAGTATATTCAAATATTATTTAATAAACTCGGTAAGTTACTTTTTAGGAGAATACAGTAAATCCTCTCATAATGCAGGGAGATGTTATTGAAAATTAACACCTTGTGAAAAATAGCATTATGTAAAGTAAAGAGGCCTCTAAACTTACCAAGCAACTTTTTTAAAAAAATTAACTACACGTAAGTACAGATTAATACAGTTTTATCTTACTTTAGTGTCTGGCTGCTGTTGTTGTTGACATGGAAGTATGTGGAGAGTGTTGATAAGGCCCTAATGGCCTGTGATGGATGGCTGTGGTTTTAGTATTGAGTTGTCAGTAGTAATTTGTAGCACTGTAATGCATCTCTGCTTTTTTTTTTTTTTTTTTTACCTCAGTACTTTATACATCTTATGATAAGGCATCTTTGCTACTCCAAACTACTCTTCAGACAAATGCTCATAGGCTTGTTGGGATCCTTTTCAATGAAAAAAATTCTGTAACTTTACCAACAGCATGGAATTTCTCATCTAACTCCTGCAGTGTTAGGGAATTATCTGTTGTATTTATGCAGAGAATAAGGTGAAATGATCCTTAGCTGCTTTGAAGCTAGCTGCACTTTTTTCTTTTTAGCTAATGAACATTTTTTGATGGTATGTGTTAACACAAGAGCCCTGTCTCATCAGTACTAAATGCTTGGTGGGAACTGATTATTTTTTGGAAATAATTTGTGCAAAGTCAGAAGGGAAATTTTCCATTTCAATGGGATCAATTGACAAACCCTGCTAAACCTTATGTTGTGAAGTTGATTGTGCTTTGTAAAATTTTTCAAACCATCCAACACCAACTGTACACCATTGTAAAAACTCACCTTCCTTCTCACACTCAGCTTTATAGCACAATAGGGCTTTTTGTCTTGATTATCTGAGTAGTAAGTGGGCCCATTTCTTTGTTTTTTCCTCATACCACACATTTAGTAAGTTCTGTCTTATTTAGCTGCTCTGATCTCTCTGATATTTTTTTCACGATGTTACACACTGCGTTACTGACTAAACAAGGTCTTTTATTTCTTTTCATTATCTCCAGTTGTATGAATGGTTAATTCTCTCAAAATAAACGTGCAGGAAATTTGCATCTTCTGCATTTTGCATCACCTAAATTTCCACTTTCTTTAGTTCTGTCAAAGTTTCATTCCTATTCTTCTTAGCACCTCTAGCATCACTTGGGTGCCATTGCTAATATCCACAAATTAGACGGGCTAATGAAAATAAAATCACTCGATATACACACACTGAGTAAGACACATGTCTCTTCTAGAAAGTAACTGTAGGTGATTTGGGTGAAGGAAGGTGCTTTGCCTCCCCAAATACTTCACCATTAGGCCCATCTTGAGTCAGAGGAGGAAAATCTACAGCATGAGCTATGGAGATGTAGAGTGTAACTTGACGCTTCCATGCTTATGAAGTGTGCTGTGCAAGAAAAGGATGTACTTTTTCAGTCATGTTAGCCAATACTTTTATGTAGTCACCTTATAAGAGGGTTTACAGTATATTGATAGCTGGATATTGCAAAAAATCTGAAAAGTTCAAATTTACAAGTGCTTAATAATTTAATAAGCATTTATACACTGTACTGTTTTACCTTTGATCTATTTTAAATGAATTTGAAATACCAGAGTGGTTATTGTACTTCAATATCAATTACTGTATCTTGCACTTTTTTGTATATCAGCTCTGTAATTGCCTGCATTCAAATTTTTAACCACTTAAATCTACTGTATCAGTTAAAGGCAACTTAACTTAAAGGAGTGGTAAACCTATAGGAATAATTCACCGTTTAATGACATGGGTATTTGCTGAAACTTTTATCCAGGAGTTTGGGGAAGGAGAAGGGTCCAGGAAAGGGTAAAGAGATAGGCAAACCATCAACATGGCTATTTTTCCTCTACACTGGTTTGATCTAGTAAAAATGTACATCTGCTATCCCTTGCCTCCTCTAGCAGACATCAATGGTTATGGGGTTTTGTAACAGTGTTGTACAATTGTCTTGTATGAACTTATTTCATTCCTGTGTTCATATGGGTGATCAGTTCAATAAATATCACACAAGGTAAAATAAAGTATAAGTACATTGGATTTTCATTATTATTAGACCAAATATACTCATGCAAGTCGACCCCTAGTTTTGTAAGAAAAATTACCATTATTTAAAGTAATTGGTTCATTTTTGTGCAGGATTATAAACATTAATATTTAACTTCAAATTATATATGAATTAAATGTTTGATTTTACATTTTTTATTGTATTAGATATTAATGAAACATAAAATACATAAAACATAAAATGGATTGAGGTTAAAGAATGTTTACAACTGAATGGATTTTGTTTTTAATTTTTTATACTATATGGCAGCAATTCCCAACATGCAGAGATTAGATGGTCTGCTGGATTATTCCAAGGAGTCCATGAGGCTTTGCATCAAGTATTGCTTTTCCAGCTAGTGTTTGATTTCTTCTTTTATCCATCTGTGTTTATCCCAACAGTCAAGCACATGGGGTCCATAAACATTTTTGTGGTTAAAAAGGAGTCCTCATACTTGAAAATGTTAGGAACCATTGCTATGTACTATGCAGGAGTTAACACATAAGTACAGTACTGTAGAAAACAGCTGCATGTTCGTTTTTCCTATTTAAAGTGTTCGCAACCTTCTCATGTCTATAGTCATTTTAGAGAGGATTTTTACTAGTCAAATATTAGTGTCATGAATCCCAAGTGAGGAAGTGTGGTGCTACCAGTATTACTTCTGTTATCTAATACCTTACCACCAGCTTTTTCTGTTAAATGTGTAGTACTGTACTGTTCAAATAAGATACAAATCCATCACTGCCTCAGAATGTTTTTACATTAAACTGATGTAAAAGTACAGTAGTTATCTTTGTTGTATAAAATATAATTCTGCTCATACAGTGGACCCCCGGTTAACGATATTTCTTCACTCCAGAAGTATGTTCAGGTGCCAGTACTGACCGAATTTGTTCCCATAAGAAATATTGTGAAGTAGATTAGTCCATTTCAGACCCCCAAACATACACGTACAAACGTGTATGTTTGGTAATCGTTATGCGGGGGTCCACTGTATGTATTTATATATTATATGGGAGTTAAAAAAGGTTGAACTTGTAGTTGAGGCAAATTTCCCCTCCATGCCAATAAGGGGCTCCTGATCCAAGGAATTGAACCCATCCTTCCTTTCCTTGGATTGAATCTGATTACTTCCCATTCCCTCCATGTGCTGTATAACCTGTAAGGCTTTGGCAGTCTTCCCCATGAATGTAATGTAATGAGAGTAATATATAAACCATAGAAAAATGGATATATTAACTCTTACCAGAGCATTACCTAATTGCACACACATGGAGTACAACTCATGTGGTAAACTTCCTTGACTTATAAACTCAACCTTCACCAAGGCTCAAACTCATACCCTTGGAGCATGAGGTTGACACTTGAACCATTCAACCAATAAATACACTTAAGCATGTGCATGCATCACATGCAGTTAGGAATTTTTTGGTGTATTTTATTGTTATTCATCAACTCCCACCTCCAGTAACCTCTTACTCCATGCCCACCCCTTCTCACACACCTACCCTTGCCTACCCCTTCTCACACACCTACCCTTGCCCACCCCTTCTCACACACCTACCCTTGCACACCCCTTCTCACACACCTACCCTTGCCCACCCTACCCACAGCACTGTATGATCCATATGGGTTTAGTACATAAAATTATATTATTATTGTTGTCATAAGACTGTTCTTAAATGTAAGCACAGTGGAGATCCACTTGAATTTTGTTTAATAATACAAATGCATATTTAATACTGTAATTAGTTGTTTGTCCTCTTAAACAAGAAGTTAAGTTTATTCCGTTTATTAATAATAGGATAGTTAACATGAGGTTGACATGTACTAATTGTACCTTAATAATGTTGTTAGATATTTTATCTTTCAAGCATTACAGAGCATGTTAGGTTGGTATATCACAAAAATAAATGTAAATTTAAAAGCATATAATTTTCTTAGTGTTTTATACAAAGGCTCTGTCTTCAAATAAAAGTTATAGGAACTTTTAAAGAAATGTTATTTTCCTGTAAGATAAATAAGACTCATGGAAAAGGAGACATGCTCATATGTATATTTAGTATCGAGAAGGGTCTGGTGAAGTGGTGGAAAAATAGGTAGGTCTACTGAAAGCCTCCAATTCCCCCACATGCTATACAACCCCTATGGGTTTAGTGCTTTCCCCCTGATTAAAATACAGTGGACCCCGAGTTTCGTGATTAATCTGTTCCAGAGAGCCCGCCGAAGGTCGAAATTCACAAAACTCGAAACCATTTTCCCCATAAGAAATAATGGAAATAAAATTAATCCGTTCCATTCACCCAAAAATATTTAAATAAAATATTTTTTTCAAATTAAGTAAAGATTTACTTAATGAAAAAAATCAGAAATCAAGTACATGCATTTAAAATAAATAATAATAACATTACACTTACCTTTACTGAAGACTTCTGGGTGGATGGAAGATGGGAGGAGGTGATAGGAGGAAGGTGTACACTATTGTTTGGAAGGAGAATCTCCTTCCATTAGGACTTTAGGTAGCAAGTCCTTATCTGGGGTTACTTCCCTTCTTCTTTTAATGCCACTAGGAACAACTTGAGAGTCACTGGACCCCTGGCGCACAAAATATCTATCCAGAGAGGTCTTTTTCTGGCGTTTCTTTAAGATTTCCCTGAAGTGGGACACAACACTGTCACTGTACATGTTGCAGATATGGCTTGTTTCAGCTTGGTCAGGGTGATACTTTTCAACAAAACTTTGCAACTCGTTCCACATTCCACACGTCTCACTGAAGAAGGCACCTCATCCACTCCCTCTTCCTCCTCTGAAGCAAGTTCCTCAGCCGTGGTCTGATGCTGTTCCAGTTGAAGCTAGTCTTAGGTCTTCTAGATGTACATTTGCTGTAGCAGTTATTTGGCTGGTGTGTGCCTGAGGTGATATGCTTGGTATAA